CTTTGCGTAGCATATGTATTATTTAAAGTTTCAAAATATCTTAATGGACTTAATATCAGAAAATATTATTTTACGAGACACTACGTATTCGTTAATACTATTCTCAGCATTTACAGACAATTCTTTTTAGTAATAATATAATCATTTTTTCAGTAATCAAATGATAAATTCTAGTAATAACTTTCCAGTAAAATTATTAAAAAATAATAAACTTTTATTAGATAACATTATTTTCACTATTCTGACTAATTTCATACTTAATTCACTTTGTTCCAGGCTTTAAGTCACCATCAATTTTTTGAAGACATATTGGACAAAAGATTTAAAAGATTCCACCATTAGCTAAAGTAATTATAATCAGTGATTTTAATTTTTTCGAACATCAAAGCTCCCTGAGATGTTTCGTGATGTCTCTGCGAGACTATCGACTATTAAATATCAGATTATTTTTTTTAACAACACGTTCACGATAATATCGAAAATTCCATTAATACTTGCTGGTAACGATGTGACAATATAAACACTTCGGTATTATCTACCTTCCAGCGCGGAACACGATAATGAAAGTATATGCATGGAAACGAATTGTTTTTCGCACGAGAATATCGGATTTCATTACTACCCGATTCAAACATTGCTCAAGTGTATAGATGATTTTTAAACATTGTACCATGCGGCAAGTAAAGGTTTAGTTTTATATGTGGCGAAATAAATTTTTAGTAAAGTAGGATTTTGCTGTTTTACTTCCCCCCTCCAATAAACTAATCATTTTCTAATTTCTTAAATTGTAATTACATTCTAATAAATATATTATTTCTTATATAATTATTATAAAGCTTACTGTTATGTTCTGTCACCTCGAAATGTGGAGAGCAATCGTACAAGAAAGCCATTCAGAATAGAACACATTTGAAAACTAGAAAGATAAAATGGTGACACTTAAACTAATAAAAATTTTTGCATTTTATTAAAGCCGCGTTAAAGTATAAACGTACAGTTCTTTATGCGATTTTCAATTGTAAATAATATCGTAGAGTTGTAAAATTCTCTATAATATCTGTAAGTCCTTATTTTCTTTTTGCAAGAAACCAAAGGCAATCGTAAGTTGATCAAGCATAGTTAACTACTAGTGAATGCCAAGTTTGTTACAATTAATAATGTTCATGCTTATTATTTTCAGCAATTAATATTTTAACCTGTTAACTGGAACTTTGATTGAAAAATCTTTCATTTTGCATACAGTAAAATCAAATAATGAAGTGTATACTCGTCAAACGTAAAGGACGAATGCACCTAGGATATATTTTAATGAAAAACCAAAGAAAAACACTGTGTACATGTTTATCTAAAAAAATAAATAACTCATCATTTGAAAAATTAGTATTAGTGTTTTTAATTGCCGATTTCATAAACTCGAAGCACATATGGGCTTAAAGCTAGACATACAGCATTCTGTTCAGCGAAGGAGTAACTTTTACAATCGTAAATAAACATTACACTTCAACGCTTGCTATACAGAACAAGGGATCTAATTTTCAGTAACAAACTGCCATTCTAACAGTTACAAAATTCTCTAGAATTATTTGCACATGTTTATGCTGCGGTTTGAAGGTCAGTTTGGGATATTCATTAGTATGTTTAGATTTCAGATTTTATCTACGAACTTAAGTTAAAAAATAATTCTCTTTGAAAAAGACCGTAATTGTACAGATAAATCAATATTTTTAAACAAAGATTATTTGCGCCATGTTCTGCGTGATGTACATATATAAGAAAACAAATTGAAAGTCATAGGGTTAACTCTTCATACTTCAAAATTTGATATTTAACATAGAGCTTTACATAATGCATCAATATGTGAAATATTGAAATAAAATACTCTTGTTCGTTACTGAATGTGCGATGTTTTGTTAAGTTAGTGTCATATCAATGTCGTTTAGACTTCATCAGGCAATGTTAAGCATTACTAGTGAAAAATTTCTGGAGTACAAACGGTTACTAGACCTCGCACATTTTTTTGAAAACGTTTCGAATTAGTGATTTGTTCTTACTTCATTCCATCATAAATGTTCTTCTAAATTTTTGTGGAACAGAATTGTGCATTAACATGTTAAATACCATGTCGATCACCGATGACTGACGCTTCTCAAATTACTTGAAAACAATCGTAACATGCAAGATAATCGATGTCGAATCAAAATGATTAATAACGTAACTAAGTTGATAATAATGTAATGCGAAGATTGGATAACTGTACAGAATAATGGTCAAGATTTTCGTGTCGCTTAACACGTTAATACAGAATAGAATTAAATACATTGACCAAACCTCGATGGAACTTTAACCTACATAGACATAGAATCCTCTAAAACAGAATTCAGAACTTTGTTAAAATTACAATTACCCAAAACTGTAAAGGATAACATTGGATTTTGTTATCACATTTTACTGTAAAATTATTCATAGAACGTGATTAGATAATTATGAATATCGACAGTCCTTTAAATACTCGAATTAAAACTCTTATTAATCCCATACATTCTACACTCTCGAATAACTAAATTTCGGTAATCTGTATTCACATATTGTCAATTACAAGAAAATCAAATTAATGGAAGAGTCGCAGTGCCAAAAGTTAATAAAGTATGTAAATTTATTAAATTATTTAGACTATAGAAAATACATTGTTCATTGTTTAAGTAATGCATGAATCTGGCTATTTTCATGATTCAATTGCAAAATAGTTAATGTTTCATTACAAAATTTAAATGGTTAAATTGCAATTGAAATGCTACCAATATAAAAACCAATATTGAATTGTAATTACAGCTTACACAATTTTACATATTAATAAGTATTTAAATTGATGTGTAAATCGTCAGGAATATTCAATGCAATGGATGTGATAAGATAATGCAAAGAATACGTGAAGCACCTAAAGGTCACTATGACGACAGAGTATGGGAAACATGACATAATAAATCGTAATAACGTGTACCCATTAAGGCGCTTGTAAGTACTCTAAATTAATAGCACAGTGCGAGAACAGCGCGCTGTCGCCTTCATGCTACTTTCGTAGACAAAGTTATTAATAGAAAATTATTAGGTTTATGATAACGTAAAGTGCAGTCTCGTCTGGAGGAAGAACACTAATATTGTTCTTAGATCATGTTGCTGATAATATGGGGTTCGAGTGGATTACATAAACCATCATATTAGAACTGAAACTTCGACAACACATCATGGTATTAACCTTAAAGACTCCATCTTGTAATAGGGCTTACTATGTTTCTTTTTATTTACACATATTAAGCCTTCAAGGAGAAAGTTACGAAATAAGAATTTGTTTATAATTTTGATTATGAAATTAGTTTTTAGACATGAGAAACATGGTTATGATAATAAAAAAAGTTAATTTAAATAGGATTATAATTTTGAATATAAAAATGTGTAAGCACAACTCGTTTTCAGAAAAGCAAATAAAAATTGTTACTGATTAATTTCACGTGCACTACATCATATATCATTTTGAACAAAATTTCTGACATTGATGTCAAAAGATGATCGATTTGGCACGGAACGACCCAATAACTTTATTCTACCGTCAACGTTTTTAAACTAAAATAATGAGTAATGAACAGATATACAGTAAACTCGCGAATCGAATAATTTATTACAACTCCCACAAATTTGCTGAATACGTTCGCGTACTTCATAATAGACATATTTACGACGACTACCATTTTATATTTCGCATAAAGGCAACAAACTAATGTTATGAAAACTTCATTTAAAATTGTAATTTACGGAGTAGCATTGAGAAGTTAATGTTAAACAGTTTATATCCGCTAACTTTAAATAGATTTCAATTGAATTATCATTTGAAATTACTATTATATTCAAGTAATAAAATGATTAGTTATCTAATAATAATTGTAAATATATTTTGATCAATAAAAGTTCATGTTGAAACTAAACATCATATGAAAATAATTGATGTCAAATTTATTTTACATAATTATTTATTTCTTTTCACATGTAGGATCTTGCGTAATTATATGAACTAATCTTATTCAAAATACATACACGTGAAATTACTCGAAATCGACTTTTTTTTAATTAAAAAATTAGTTAAGAAAGTTAATTAGTTAGATATATCCTTTACTGAATTTCAATTTTTGCAAAACATCAACAACTGTATATTATAATAAAACAAAATTTTAACAATACATAATTTTCTGTATATCTTTCTTATCTTTACTTAGAAATTTCTGTGTAATATCTTCATTAACAACTTCTTTTACATTTCATCCGTTTTATTGAATACAAGAATTCAGAAAAATTCCAAATCTTCCAACAATTGATTAATATAAAAAACGCAGCATTTAGAAGCTATACTTCCTCGAATGTTGCATTCAGGATTCTAGACACTGGGTGAATTTTTCTGTTAGAGGTACGACATAAAGAATGAATAGAAGATGAGAAGTTCCTTTCACAAACGATGAACCAAATCTTGATCAGTAGCTTCTTTATCTGATAGAACGCTTGACAAGTAATTAACAGTGTTATCGGCCTAACGGCAAGCTAGGGAAATAGTACAAGAATGTGTAGTAGGTTGGAACAGAAGAGCCCTATTGTTGCACAGACAGGTCACGATATTCTGTCGTGCCAGGTTTGGCTCGACGTGGAAAGTGTGGACTTATATAACCATTTCCGGCCTGTACGAAACATAAAAACTTTCCTAATATAAACTTCGTCTATCAACGTCGCGGCTTTGGATGGATTTCATTCGCGATGCGATACGAGATACGTAAACTGGTCGCCGGCCCTGTGTGTCGTTACAAAACAGAATAAAAGTCATTGTCATCGGGACAATCTTTGAACTAGTTATAACGCGAACGCGACGGAATGCTTTTTTTATAGGACTAATTAGCGAGCAGTATTTTGATGACTAAGGAGAGAATAAAAATCCGGCGCTTTAATAAATGAATAAATGGTAAATAAATATGCAACCTTAATTTCGTGAAACACAAGTGTAAATTCTGTTAATCGTGTTTTCATTGAAAATTAAAGTTTTGATGAAGTTTAATGATATGATAACTTGTTAATTTGTGTAGGAATATTTTTTTATTCCAAGTCAAGATTGAATACACTTTGTTATGATAACAATAACATAGTCGTAAAATTTTCGTTTTAATAAATGTATTCAGTTTTACTTGAATAATTACTTCTATGCCATATTACGGCTTGACGTATTTTTCTAAAAGACTATATAAACACTTTTCTTAGGAATTAATGAATATTTTATTTTGT